ATTCACAAGCTTGAAATCATCAACTAATTTACAGTTTAGACTTGAGGAAGAAAGGAAATTAGATGATCTAGCAAAGTATACACACCACACATTATGTCATCCAAGCATGTTGGATGAACATTGACACTGTGGTAGAGCCCTTCTAAGCCAAACCCATACATGTCTCTTTATTATATTTAATAAAAATGGTAAGTATCTAATTTCATAAACTAGTAAATCATACTTAGTCTATAGTTCTTTTTAGGGTTAGGGTTATATTATTATTAATCTGTATTAATTTGTTTTCTTTATCTTTTAGGTTTATGCAGCGATTCTTATTACGTTGGATGTTCAATAATGTAGCAGGTGCTACATTTAACCAGGTGCATGTTAACTCAACTATGGTATGTCCAATTGGCAATTGTCCATGTACTGTATACAGTGTGTATAAAAAAAATTTGAATCAAACTTTGACAGGCTGCTGTGTATAAAATATTAAGTAAACAATATAATTTTTATATGGCAACAAAGATTAGCTTATTTAGTTTGCGATTCTACCGTTCTTATGTCGACACGACCAAAACTGGCCGAGTTATCGTCTTTCAAAAATTGTTGCTCGAAATAAAATTTTTCTGAGAGAAATAAATGAATTTAACAATGGTGTAAAAATCAAACAAATTTGTCAAATATATTTTGCATTATTACAGGCAAAATTTAGATTCGAATTTTTTTATTCACCCTGTGTAGCTCAGTACTGTGACTGACTTGTTGCCCCTAGTGCTGTGACGTCCTTTTTGAATGAGCACTGGTGATGGAGCACATGCTTTCCGAACCCCAGCATTTTTTTTTCGAAAAAACTTTTACGGTAAGTTGTATTGTCTTCATTGCTACACTTTTTACGATTGCTTGTGACCACTGGCACTAAGAATCACGATTAGACAATGTAGTAAACGTTTTCAGTTTCATTTGCATTTAAATAACGCTATGTGTGAACAATGCGGTCATGTGGTGATTGTGACTCCATGTCGAAATTAAGTGCCCTTATAGTGCCAACGACAAATCGACTTATTGTACAAGTTTTCAGATAGAAATTCCTTTTAATAATAAGTTTTGTATTCTTTTCAGATGAATCAAGAACAACCAGAAGCTGCAGGTGTGTTCATCACGTTAATTATAAAGGATTTATATTACGAATGAATGCATTTATATGGATTGCCGTTTTTTATTGTTTTTGCCTATCCAACACTAACAAATAAGTGAAATAACGATAAAAATTAGTCATTTCCTACATCTCTAACAAAAATGACATAAAGAAGTAAGGATTACCAAAGGATGGCAAGGATACTGTTTATATATGAATATGTGAAAAACATGCCCATGGCCCGATGCGCTACTGCGCTACTACCCAGTGTTTCATTTTAACAAACTTGTTGCACCTCCTTTGCTCGTTCAGCCTGCACTCAAAAAGAACAAATAAAGGCCCATATTCTAGTGATTTCAAAAAATGCATGAACATTTTCTCCTTATCTCAAAAAACTAAATTTTCCACTTCAGGCACATAGCCAGTACAGCCAGGCAAAAGTGAGTAGGGGCGCCCAAGCTTTTGTCAAATCCTTTTCACAAAGATATGCCCTTTTGCACAACTGCCTCTTTTTGGGGTTGGACTGTTGCATGTTATGTTAAAAAGGTTTTCATTGTACATTCTACAGGGTGTATAAAAAAACGCAACCACTTAATATTCATAGCTATTTGCTGTGTTTTCAAGCACAATCGTTTAGCTCATATGACTATTAGCAGTTCAACTGTACTGTGATGAGAACAATATGAATATTTTAGAATATTAAGGTTGCATTTTTTTTTTATACACCTTGTATTAAAACACTGCTTTCAGTGCACTGCATGTGCGCATTCATTAATTAATGGTTTTCATTGTTTATATAGCATTCTGATTTTGAATAAGCAAGCAGACTTTGTGTGTGCACTTTAGCATGTATGGGCTTTTAGGGCAAAAACATGGGAAGGATCTTTTGCCCAAGAGTTCGATTTGCCCTTTTACTTGACCACATTACCCTCCTATATTATTGTTGTGCGACTGTATAATTTATATCAACATTAATGTTTTTAGCGAGAAACGTTGGACAATGGCGACCGCTAGTGGAAAAAATGGGAAAACTGTCCGAAGCTTACGAGAGAAACCAGAAGCAAATCAACAATGAAATAGAGCGACATAAACAGGAAGTAGAGCGTGAGAAAGAAGAACGTCGTCAGCGAGAGTTAAGAGAGCGTGAAAGAGAAATGTGGGAAGAAAAGCTTAACGCGGAACTGAAAATGACCGAAAGGAAGATTGAAATGGAAACACGTGCGAAGATGGGTACAGCTAAACTGCCACAATCGAAGATTACACCATTTAAAGGTACGGCGGCCGATTGGGTCCGATTCGAAAACATGTTCCTTACGCAGGTAGACTGTAGACCAATCACAGATGAAGAGAAATATGGATATTTGTTAGAATCGGTAACAGCCAAAGTAAGAGATAGAATTTCAAACCTAAAGGCAGGGAGGGCTACACAGCTGCATGGGAACGCCTGAAACAAGAATATGGGCAAACCAAAGTAGTCATCAATGCACACCTGGATGAAATCATTAACCTACCAACCATCAGAGGAACGAATCACGACAAGATTCAAGAATTTTACGATAAACTAAGTAACAACTTTGATGCCCTCACGACGCTGGGCGAGGGAGACAAACTGCAAGGGTTTGTCATGAACACCTTGAATAAATTACCTCATGTGAAGCCTGACCTGGTAAGGGTAGACGATAGCTGGGAGGAATGGAGCATGGAAACCCTTATTAAAAATATACAAGCATGGCTGAAACGGAACACAAATGAAGAAAGGTTTAGACCCTCAAGTGAACCCCGGAAAAGAGAAAGAAACTGGTTTGGTGGGGATGGAAAGCCAAAGCGAAAGATATGCATCTTTTGCAACGGGGAACATTGGAGTGACGAATGTAAAGTTGTGGTTGTGCAAGCAGAAAGGAAGAAGTTCTTTGCAGACAAGAAGCTGTGCTACAATTGTGGACGTACTGGCCACAGAGGGTCACAGTGTCGAAGCCGTGGTTGTTTCAAATGTGGAGCTAAACATCACACTAGCATATGCGAATCAAGATCCTAATCCCAATTCAGGGGGTATTCTCAATGGTTACAGTAGATCTACCGAGAGAGATTCATTACCTGCCATCATCCCTGTAAAGATTCAGAAGGAAGAGATGTGGGCATACCTAGACACTGGGTCTTCAAGAAACTTTGTCTCACGAGAAGCAGCGAAAAGGTTGAATTTGAAGCCGAAACAACACGAACAGAGAGAGATTGTCATGCTAAATGGAATTACCAAGCAATCGATGCCTATATACGACGTCGAAATTAGTTCTTTGGATGGAGAAACACGGGAAGAGATCGAGGTTACAGGATCAAAGTTACAAGATTTCACAACAGTCAGAGGACCAAATATTCCAGACCTTAAATTGAAGTATGAACATACTAAGGATAAAACATTTCACTTCACAAAAAACGGTGATTGCCAAATACATCTCATTATTGGCGACAAAACATTCAGTCGTATCCGTACAGAAACTGTGTGCAAAGGGCAACAAGGAAACCCTATAGTCGAAGGAACCAGCTTTGGATGGATAATACATGGAGGTGATGATTATACTGATGATTGTACACAAATGGGAAAGTAACATTGAGTCGATAGAGAATGATAACATGCCAAACCCCACGAAATTTCTGGGACATCTGTGGGACAAACGGGAGGAAACACTTGAGGTAAATGTTCCAGAATATCCAGAAGAAGAACCAGTCACCAAGCGAAGTATTCTTGGACATTTAGGAAGCATCTACGATCCACTTGGAATAATCTCTCCAACCCTAGCGAAAGGAAAACGGATATATCGCAAGGTCTGTAACGAGAAGAGAGGTTGGAACGCGGACGTTTCTCCGCAAATGAAGTACCAATGGTTAAAGTGGACCAAACAGTTAAGAAACGTAAAAGTGCCTCGAAGCGTTAACAAAAGTATTAGGAGAACAAAAACAGTTCAACCACATATATTTGCCGATGCAAGCACGATGGCATGTTGTGTGGTAACGATTGCTGTCGTAGAGGGTAGTTCAGGTGTGGTCAAGGGTCTCCTAGCTTCAAAATCACAAATAGCAAAACGGGACTCATCTATTCCGAGACTCAAACTTGTCAACGGCCATATGGCTGCAAATATGGCAAGAAACCTATGCAATGCATTAAGAGGATGGCCCATCAAATCCGTAACCATATGGATGGACAGCCTGGTTGCAATATATTGGATAAACAACCCAGGAAGATCGTGGAAGGTGTTTGTATCAAATAGAGTAAAGAAAATAGCAGAGATCACCGACGAAGTCAATATTTCCTGGAAATACTGTCCCACAAAATTTAATCTCGCAGACCTGGGGAGCAGGGGAGAAAACATAGGAAGGTTAGAAAGTCAAGAGTGGTTTACGGGACCAAGCTGGCTCCTTAGAGTGAATGAATGGCCTGAACAACCTGAACTTAAAAGGAGCAAAGAAACGTTGAACGAACAGAAAGCTACTCAAATTGTTTTATTCGGTAATGAGCGAGAGACGGATGAATGGGACGAATTATTAAACCACAATTCATATTGGCGAATATTACGGAACAGCGTGGGTTTTGCGTTTCGTAAACAACTGCCGTTCAAAACAAAAGAAAACCCAGAGAGGCACCGGTCCGTTAAACACAGACGAAATCAGGGGCGCCAGAATTAAATGGATAAAAATAATTCAGAAAAATAATTGTCAGGAATTACGATCTCCGGGATGGAAGTTGGTGGAGGAAGAGACAGGAATATTCAAATGCGAAGGTTGAGTTGCTAATTATCAGCCTAATTTTCTTGGAGGAGGAACATTCGAGAACAAACTGATCGAACATGTTCACAACCAAGTAATGCATCTTGGTATTGCTAACACAATGGCGGCACTTCGAGAAAACTGGTGGATCCCAAAGTTACGCGAGAAAGTGAAAAAGGTCATCAACAAGTGTAACGTCTGCAAATTATATTCAGCAAAACCATTCGAAGCCCCAGTGACAGCGAAAATGCCAAATTTCAGAACAGAGGGAAGTCGACCGTTTGAGGTGACGGGTGTAGACTTTGCGGGGCATTTGCATTACAAAGTAACTAAGAAAGAAGACGGTAAATGTTACATCATAATGTTTACCTGCGCTGCCTCAAGGGCAGTTCATTTAGAGGTCTCGAAAACCCAAACCGCAGAAGAATTTCAAAGAAAACTGAATGCTTTCATTACTCGTAGAACAAGGCCACGTACCATGATATCAGATGATGCTCAAACCTTTAAAGTTACGGCTGAATGGGTGAAGATGCTGAGGAAGAGTGAACGGATGCAGAACTTTCTTGCGAACGAAGAAATTGATTGGAAATTCAATCTTGCAAAATCTCCGTGGTGGGGAGGTTTCTATGAGAGATTAATCAAAGAGGTTAAAAAAACCTTGTACAAAACCCTTGGAAGATCTCACTTATCATTCGAAGGCATGGAGCAGGTGGTAATGGACATTGAGAGAAACTTGAATAATCGGCCGTTGACATATGTGGAAGGTGAGGCTTAGGCTGAGATATTAACGCCAAATGTTATAATGTGCGGAGGAAATGCATATGTACTAGAAGATATAGATCAAGAAACGGACGAGTTGACGACGATGAACAGACGGCTTGTTAACGCAAAGCAACACGCGTGGCAACGTTGGAAAAAGGAGTACATTCATGCCCTCATGGAAACCCAACGAATAAATACGAAAGGCAGGAGAGTTCCAGAAGTCGGAGAAATACTCTTGATTGTGGGTGAAGAGAAGAATCGCGGCGAATGGAAGAAGGGTCGTGTATTACGTTTGGTAAAGGGAAGAGATGGAGTAGTGCGGGGAGTGGTTTTGGGTTACAGCGGACGGAGAGTCGAACGGCCATTACAATTAGTCTGTCCACTAGAAATAAAGGCAGAAAAGCGAGTCCAGAACCAGCAGGAAAGATCCAACGAAGAGACAACAAGTAAAAACGACGAATCAACGAATCCGACGAAATGCGGCCAAAGAAGCGGAACAAAAAATTCAAAGACAATTACAGGAAGAGAACGATGATTGACCTGAATACTAAATAGTTGTAACGTTTACATTGTTTTAGTTAAAGTAAATATAAAAATTGAAAGTTTCAATTTTTAGGGGAGTGTGGCCGAAGGGACAGGCCCGCAACACACCCCCAGAACTTGAGTTAGGGTTGCGAGGGGCAACAAGAGAGAACAAACTAGGGATCCAAGGATAGTGCAAAGTTTTCATGCCCTGTAATATCTAAGCAACCAGACGTTTCTCTCAACATAGACATTTTGACTTATACCAGTAAAAATATAACGAACTAGGTTAAACATTAATCAAAAGAAAATTACTCAAAGTACTCAAATTATGTTAGCCGCGGTACTGTCACTATTAAATTATAGCTAATTTTAATTGCCCATGTAAACCGGCCAAACCGGGCGCGATCTTCTCAGTGTAGTCTATTTTCTTTGTCAAACAACTGTGACTACATTCACTACATTTATATGATGGCTACAATTTATCCGTCACTTCATAAGAATAGCCAAAATAGTTGCGTTGCAAATAATGTAAATAAACCGCGGTGCATATTATGTCTATGATGTGGACACTTCGACACGTAAATCGATACAAAACAATATACTTATAATCAATACTGTATACCGCCAAAATGATTTGATTACTGCACAAAATGTCCGTTTTGTATAGTATCATTTATGTACTGTATGCAGAATATCAGGTATCGACTTGCTATCGACATAATATACATTCGTGTAAGAGTCTATCAATACATAAACAACACAGCATCGTTTCTTCCTAACCTCTTCGGTCTATTTATGGAATAAACCTTCCAAATTATATTTGTGTTGAATTGAATGCTCGTAATTCATAACATAAGTTGATAAAGTGCGTAGATTCTCAAAAAATTGCTCGATTTTTACGCTCGGAATGTTTCGAAGCAATGCTCGTCGCTCCTTGTTTCTTTACATCATGAATAATGTTCAAGTCTCGACAGCACATGCGCAGTTGCGACGTGTAAGAAAGAATCGGGTGTTCCGGGGGGTAATTCTGCGCAAATCGCTTTAAAACAAAATCCAAACCGCGGAAAAGCAATGCTTCAAAATTTACAGTAACCGCCAAAATCCCTCAATATTTTGGTGAACTTTGCAAAAGGGGTATAGGGCATTAATAAATAAAGCAAGTTTAACTGATTTAAAAACCTTAAATTACTGATCATATACAAAAAGTTACTATACACATAAATCAACCTACCCCCCGTAAAGTTTACACTATGACTGACTGACTGACTGTCTGACTGACTTACTGACTCGTTTGAATTTTCGCCACTCATCACAATACTGCAAAGTTTCTCAAACTTTGCACTAATAAATGATGTAAACATTTTATAATAAAATATTTCTGAGAAGAATCCCACAAGATACTTTCAAATTGCACTATACTGTATAAACCTTAAGGTAAATAAACCTTGCATGATTTACATAACGGATGCATGAATCGATCACTTGTCCTGACAGCACGAAAATATAACCAAACATACTCAAATTACATTACTATAGTCGCGATATTATTTAACAAATAGATTACAATGAACCGTTGTCTGTTCAGTTATAGATACACGGTATGACGTCATATGTGATAAGAACAAAAAAAGTGGCCACGAGCTGCCGGGGCGAGTAATAGTAAAATAATAAAAACATAGTAATAATAAAACTGAAAAAAATCCAAAATTAAACCGGTAAAAAGAAAATTGCTGTGACGTCATTCCGTGCGTCTGTCCTCTTATAGATCATGGCTCTCAACCAATGAAATTGCTTGAATTCTTTACGTTATTATATAAATATGGATATCAACCATAACAATATAATTAGCCTTGAATGCCTACTGTGTGGATCCACAGTTTTCATTTTGAAGCATTTTTTATGACAGTAAAATTGGTTTGTGCATAGGCGTACGGGACTTTTAAAATGTGGTCGCGCAGATGAAACATGGTCTAACATAATTAATGTAATAGTTACTTTGCCCTTCTTTTGGACTGATTGGACGCCTGTATATATTCAAAACCGATCCGTCTATTTACATAACCATATGCGCGCAATCGCACTATAGCCTAAAAAAATTTTACCCTCCATAGTCGATTATACAGCAGTATCAATTGCTATCAACACATGTTAGATTCGTGAAGTACATTATCAAAATAAGTCGTGTATATTATGTTATGCGTGTAGTTAAAATACGATAGTGGATGTGGACGTATTCTTTCTTGGTTCTGCATTTAATGAGTTCACAAATTCTCGAACATTTGCTCGCTTTTCGCTTAAAATATTTCAAAACAACACTTTGTCGCTCCATCGCTCCTTATTGTATTTTGCGCTTCTGAATATTAATCGCGGCATTATGCGCATTAATGCGCTGTTCAAGATGAAATCGCGTGTACCGGGGGGAACAACACACATATCATCGTAACGAATGTTATAAAATTTACAATAACCACAGTAACTCTTTCATATTTTGTTTAAATTGGAAAATGCTAAAAGAATATACAAATCAGAAAACTATATACTTGATCAAACAAACTTCCTGATACCCACCCACATAGGATCAAAGACGACAAACAAAAACACTCCGCCCCCCGGAGTTTACACTATGACTGACTGACTGACTGTCTGATGTGAATTTTCGCCACTCACCACAATACTGCAAAGTTTCACAGAAACTTTGCACTAAAAAGGCAACGAAGCGAGGGGAGAAACGAGAGAGTGTTTTGTAATATTTTTAGTAATATATCATGATTTCAATATAAATATAATCAGTTTGCGTGTGTATAACATTTGACAGCACATTTCTGGGTCTATTGTTGGTATACAGAAAGCCTCAAAATCCCTTGCATGTATAGGCTGTCATGAAAGGTGTATAGATGTACAAGAAAATATAGCTGTGCCAGTCGTGTAACCTATCGCAGAGGAAAATGCTGTGTCCTAGCTTCTGGTCAGTCCGATTATTAGCGAAACCAGAAGACTCAGCCAAAAATATCCGTCTGGTTCTTCCTAGTCATATGCTAGAGAAGTTCCTTGACATCAATGATTCTTTATTGGACTTGGACACTGTTTCAGAAGAAGAATTAGTTTTGTCAATTCTTGATTCCTGTTTCAAGAGGTTCAACATTACATATGACAACATTGGTTACAAGATCACTGACATACAAATTCAGTATTAACTGACTCAGATTAACCAGCCATGTCCCATTAACTACATATCTAACATGGCTATCATAAAATTTGTTATTGTTTAATATTCTGAAGCACCATGGACTTCAATTTAAATTACTTGATCCTACAATAACATTTCTAGGACTAATCTATGTCTTCTTGTTATGTTATTACAGTATGAAGTGCATATTACAGTTAGTTTATATTTCTCATATTTTTTGTTACTGTAATAATGGGGAAGGAAAGGTTAACTAGCCACAATATAAGCATGATAATTATATAATTAATACATAGCATGTGAACCATGCTATTTATTAATTGCCTTGCTTAATTGCTTTAATAAAATTTTGCAATTGATTTGCTTTCATCCATCAGTTTCACTTTCACATCCCCAAGACAGTAATAAAACAAAGTTTACTTCTGTCAATATCTTTCAAAGTTCTATCTTTTGTGTAATTCTTTTTGTGTTATGTTCAAAATGAATGATAGTAAATAAGTAAATAAAACTTGTTTTAGTCGATCTTCAATGCACTATAGATATTTATCAACTTTGTCCAATAAACCAAAGACTAATAAATAGTGCAAAAGCTATCTGATCTCACAACTATACTGTAGAACTGGCTGAGTCAACCTCGTTTCCTGGCTACCCTATTTATACAAATGTTTACCAGTGTTGGTAACAATTGAATTATAACACATTATAATAATTCTACATAAAATATTAGCCTGCCTAAAATTCAATATTTCAATCTGCTTGACTCTGCTACACAATCCTGCGAATATATGGCAGCACATTACTTGCGATAGTAACTTCTAGTATCTTTATGTTTCAGTGCGCGAATATACATACAACATGGCCGCCACTATACTATGATGTCATTAGGAAGCCATATACACGTTGTAGTATAAATGCTATTATTATATATATCATATAGCTGTTGTGGTTATAGACGTTATGCATGTTGTAGACATTATAGACGTTATGGACATTATTATGCACATTATAGACGTTATGGACGTGAATATGGACGTTATACGCATTATGCACGTTATAGACGTTATGCATGTTATGGACATTGTGGAGTTATAGACGTTGTGGACGTTATTGATGTTATGCACGTTAAGATGTTATGCGCGTTATGGACGTTGTAGACGTTATGCATGTTATGGACGTTGTGGACGTTATAGACCTTGTGGACGTTATAGACGTTATGGACGTTGTAGACATTACGAGGCGTTATGCACGTTATTGACGTTGTAGACGTTATGGACGATATACATGTTATGCACGTTATGGACGTT